GAGCATCAAGGTCGAAGTAGACGGTGCATGCTCCGACTACAAGCCCATTAACGCTGGTGTTCCATAAGGCTGCGTGCTATCACCAACGCTGTTTTTTCTGCATATCAATGACATGTTGCAAATCGGTAGCATTCATTGCTATGCGGACGACAGCACTGGAGATGCTTTATACACCGGCCGTGCCAATATTTCTCGGGAAAACGTCGCCGAGTACCGGGACAAACTTGTCTGAAGTCGGGAATTTGTAGAACAAAATCTCGGACTAGATGCGACTAAATCTAGTCCAGTTTTATCCCCAGAAGACACAAGTTTGCTCGTTTACCGCTAAAAAGAACCCCTTCGTCGTATCTCCTCAGTTTCAAGGCACTCCCCTTGTTGCCTCAATCAGTATCGGAATACTTAACGTCGACATATCGAGTGACGTGCAGTTTCATGGTTACTTGGAAGCGAAGGCCAAATTGGCCTCTAAAAAGCTTGGCGTGCTCAGCAGAGCGGGACAGTATTTCGTGCCGGCTCACCACCTGCAACTTAACAAGGCTCAGGTTCGACCGCACACGGAATACTGTTCACATCTCTGGGCCGGGGCTCCCCAGTGCCAGCTCCTTCCACTTGATCGCATCCAGCGCAGAGCAGTTCGAATCGTCGGCGACCAAGCTCTTGCCGATCGGCTTGACTCACTGGCACTGCGAAGAGATGTTGTATATTTTTGCGTGTTTTATCGCATTTACCATGGGGAGTGCTCTGAGGTATTGTTTGGACTAGTTCCAGTCGCACAGTTTCACCATCGCACATCGCGACAAAACTCGCGATACCATACATACCATCTGTATGACTGGCGGTCCACCACTAAGTGATTTAAAAAAAATTTTCTTCCTCGCATAACTTCCTTGTGGAATCAACTACCACCAGAGGTTATTCCGGACCGATACGACTTACGGACCTTCAAGATAAAAGTCTACTCCTTTTTAAAAGGCCGGCAACACATCTGCAATCCTCCTGGTGTTGCAGTTGTTCATGGGCAACGGTAATCACTTATCATCAGGTGAGCCGTATGCTCGTTTGCCCCCTAATATGGCACTGTCTTGAAAAATTGAATACAACAATAAAATCGTAGATTGTCGGCGTAGTTCAATTTATTACAAAACGGTTAAAACTAATTTTGGACTTTATTTATAAATATTTTATTTATTTTAATAAAACACATCAATATACGTATCATATACGTATAAAATAGAACATAACATCTTAAGAAAGAAAATACTTAACCCTCCTGTTTTGAAGTTCCGTAATCAGATAAAAAGTAGTGTAATAATGGGGAAATCTGTTCAGTAGTTTTTGCGTCAATCTTAAATACACTACTTCAGTGCCCTTTATTTAGTCCCCTGGACTTATTTTTCCCAGAAAATATAAGAGTTACAGACACGACTTTTCTACAGATTTATTATATGTATAGATGATATATAAAGTATCAATATTGACATTATTAGAATGCTACTTTTTTTCGTATTCTATTTATTAAGCCAGTGTAAGTGACAAATAAAGTATTTCTTTGATCTTAATTTTTTTAATAACTAGAGTCATAAAATCGTAATCGGTAGATAAAATTCTGTATAAATTAAATTAATGTCAAATGGTTTTCTTTTTATGAAAGGAAGTTAATATAATTTTCTAAAGGAGGAGTTGATATTTCGTTTCCTTCCTGTTCTACTTTATTAATATTTTCATACCCTGAAACTCAAGTATTAATATGAATCACATATGTTCTTTCCTTTATAAGTTTCGTCCGAATTTCTTACACTTGTAATTGGAAAAGAAAGTTTCTTTTTTCTTATACACCATGTCAAATAAAATAACTTTGTGAAACTACGTAAGCTATATAACCATTTGTATGACATCATTATACATCAATGCAGCAAGCAATGAATGCTTGAACTAAATTATTATTATATTTCTATTTATTTGAATATTTGGATTGTCACAACTATTTGTCCAATCTATTTACACGCAACTAAAATTGTGGTGTTAATGAATTTTTTAATTTTTTTAATTCTTATGATATCTTATATTGATATTTTTAGTATTTAAATATAACATCAATTTCATTATGCAAAAGGTTTTTTTTTTCTTTTATTTTTAATATTTTATTTCTAACATAAATCTAGAGTAAAATATAGGTTTGTCTAGCCGTCTCTACAAACGAAATGAATTCAATAACTTTAAAATCTATATCTATATGAAGTTTATAAAACTGTTTAGCCCTACGATCAATTTAGTTTTTGTCTCAATACAATATTTTAATCAACTCCTAAAATATGATTAATGCCACGCGGTTACATGGACAAAGAAGAGTATATTTTCGACATTGCAATTAGCATTCAAACAAATGTGTACGTTCATTTGGTATTTTACATCAAAATGGTAACTTTTTCGTCATTAAAAGTTTCATACAAACTGTAAAACCTAATTTCACCCCCTATGGGTTGAATTTTTTTAAATTCTTTCTCAGGGGATACCTACGTTATAAATGGCAGCTACTGTCCACATTACTTTACCCTTTTTACTGTCATAAATTTTACATTTAAAAAAATACTTGTTAATATTATATAATAAATAAACATTATAAATATAATACATAGATAAACAAATTATAGAAATGGAACTAAGAATAGGGAAGGAAACTAGCCCCTGAAATACACGTATTATATCCTAGTTATATATAGGCTAATGACCACTGTAAATTTCGTGCATGTAATATGTTTATCAATAAAGATTATTATTATTATTATCATTATGGGGTATCTATATAGTTTTCTCATCTGGTTGGGTTCTATAAATATATAATTATAAATGAAAATGAAAAAATAAATATACATAAATATCAATAACATAAAATAAATATAAAAGTACATAAATAAATAAAAGCCCAACCAGATGGAGGCCCTCGGCAGGGGAGATCAAACGGCCGAGGGTTAGGGGGAAAGGCAAAGAAACCGGCGGACGATGCGGGCGGTATCGAGGAGCACCGCCTTCTGCATTTGAACCTGGAGCGGTCCGCCACGTAGTCCCAGCCGCCTCAGATGACCCGAGAGGCTGACTAGGATTAGCCCGTTTGCAGAGACGACTACAGGAATAATTTCGGTCGGCAGACCACCCCACATGTCGGTCACCTCGTGAGCCAGGTCCAGATATTTTGTTTGCTTGTCTGTTTCGGCTTTCACGAGGTTCTCGTCATACGGAATGGTAATGTCGACCAAAAATATCCTTGACTGTGCCCGGTCCATCAGCACAATATCAGGCTAATTCGCAAGAATAGTCCTGTCTGTGATGATGGCCCGGTCCCAATAGAGCCTGCCGCGATCATTTTCGAGCACGGCTTCCGGCAAGTACTTGTAGTAAGGCAATTTCCGGTCCACGAGACCGTATTTCAGAGCGAGCTCCTGGTGTAGAATTCTGGCTACTAGGTTGTGCCTGTGCAAGTACTCAGAGTTAGAAAGCGCCGAACAACCGGAGATAACATGCCTAAGTGACTCACCGGGATGGCGACAAGCTCGACAGATGTCGACGGTGCCATCCTTTAGGATGTATCTCCGATAGTTGTTGGTCTTAATAACCTGATCCTGTATTGCACAGACAAAACCCTCGGTTTCCCCCGAAGAGATCACCAAAGCGTAGCCAGTGGAGGGAGGCTACTGTGTCTACGAAAGGCTCATGTAGAGCCTTGTAGAACCTCCCGTGGAGCTCCTTCTCCTTCCATACGGTCTCTCGGTCGGAAATGCTCTGCACTGCCGGGTCTTGCCATTGCTCGTTGGCTAAGGATAGAGGGGTAAGTCCTTTATCACAAGAAATGACGTCCATATAGAATGGATCATCCGATCTCGCCAGGAAGTAATCACGGAGGCTGCACACTTCGCGATTATGCATGGTGAGCGCGCTCAAGAAGCCACGACCACCATGCTTCCGCGACAAGTACAACCTCATTACCGACGATCTCGGATGATGCATCCTATGGGACGTCATGGTAGTGCGGACTTTTCTATCCAGGGCGTTAAGTTCAGTCTGAGTCCACCTGAGTATGCCAAAGGTATACATGAGGACAGGCATGACCCAGCCGTTATATGCGTGTGCTTTATTCACACCGGACAAAAGGCTGTTAAGCACTTTGGTCAAGCGTGCATAAAACACGTCGCAAACTGACTGTTTCATACCAGTCTCATCGATACCGATGTTTTGTGACATACCCAGGTATTGGTATGTTTCAGCCTCGGAAAGGGTCCTTAAGTTGACGGGCATAGATAAGTCTACGCCCTCAGAGTTAGCAACCCTTCCCCTTTCAACATGGAGGACCGCACACTTATCCGTCCCAAGCTCCATTCCAATGGAATTGCTAAATTCACAAGTGATGTTTAGCAATTCCATAAGATGGGAGCGACTGGAGGCGAATAACTTGAGGTCATCCATATAGAAAAGGTGGGTCACTTTTGTCCCTCCTCTCCGTAGCTGAAATCCCCTCCCGGAGCCCTCCAGTAAGGTACTGAGAGGGTTCAGAGAGAGACAGAACCAGATTGGACTCAGACAATCGCCCTGGAAGATACCCCTTCTTATCCTTATGTGGTTCTCCGCAGCCATCATCCGCTCGCCCAGATGACAAAGGATCGTACTCCACTGCCCCATACACTGCCCAAGGAAGTCTCTAACTGTACAGTCTATCTTGTACAGCTCGAGGACTCTCTTTAGCCATGTATGGGGCACCGAGTCGAATGCCTTTCTGTAGTCTATCCAGGCGGCGGAGAAGTTCCGACGGTTGCGTTTCACCACTTTGCCAATGACCGCGTCAATGAGGAGTGGTTCCTTGGTTCCACGACCACCGCCCCGACATCCATTTTGAGCGCGCGACCTCACCTGATTTGAGTCCAGGTGCCAAGTGATTCTCGCGCTCAAAATGGATGTTAGTGTCTTGTATATGGTCGGTAGACACGTGATGGGGCGGTATTTGCTAGGGTCTACCCTGTGGTACCCTGGTCTTTAGGAACCAAATGAGTGATCCCAGTAGTGAAGAGGCTTGGGAGCGACTTCTGGTTGAGAGCCTCTTGAAACTGTCGGGCAAGCACAGAGTGACACACCATGAACCCCTTCAGCCAGTAGTGATGCAGCCCGTCAAGCCCCGGACTTTTCCAGTTCGGGGCCCTACGGACCGCCTCAGCTACGTCATCCGGCGTTATGATGACGGGGTCCATGGGCGTAATACCCGCACACTGACTCGCCACAACTTCCGTCCAAGGGCCCTTGCTGTGGTTTACGGGCTCTGACCACAGGCCGCGCCAGAATGCTACAGTGTCTGCCTGATTCGGTGCTGGACCCGTTCCACTTACCATTGGTCGCTCCAATGATTCATAGAGCCTCTTCTGATCACTCTGGAAGAGACGATTCTGGTTGAACCGTGTCGACCTCTCGGTATATCGCCGAATCCGTTTTCCCCAAGCAGCGATTCTCTGCTTCAGATCATCTATGCGCTCTGTCAGTTTTTGCGTTATATCCGGCTGGGACAAACTGACATTTGTCCCAGCAAACGCCATCCTGACGGTGCGCACAATTCTTGGCCTGTTGTTGCCTGATCTGAAGCATATCAGTCTGCCGATGAGAGCTCTAGCCTTTGCGATACGTTCCTCAATTCTTCTTCTCCATGCTGGGATAGCGCTACTATGGCCAGTAGCGCGTGCAGCCGTGGAAACCTTGGCGCCTATGATACGGCAGACTGCCAGCGCGGCGCCAAAAAGAATTGAGCCCGTCTCGCAAAGTTCCCGGCTGGCTTCCAAATAGGTCACCAGCATTGGGTTCAGAGCCCTCACGACAGCCCGATTCCGCTTGCTTAGGGCTATGCGGGGAAGTCGCGGTCGATTTTCGAGAGGCGTACTGCGCGTTTCCACAATCGCCTCTTCCAATGTACTCCTCATATGCTCTAATTCCAGTTCCTGGGCGACTGTTCCATCATCGTTTGAATCAACCACAACTGGGGTATTCACGGCGGCATCCACGTTTGCGGGTTGCTCTACCATTTGTGGCGCCGCATCCTCAGCCGTAGCATTCTCATCCGACGAGGGAACAGCCTTATTATTATTATTATTACAGATGTCTACGTCCAGCGTTTATGCTGTACGTTGATAGACAGGTCAGTCACTCAGGACATCTTCTTCTATACATATGTATATATTGATAATATTATTGTACCTACATACTACACACACAACACAAACTACTTTTTACTATTTGGCTGTATCCGAATGAACGTCAAGTGTAATGAACGCCACACACGGTCATTTAAAATTATCAGTTGAACTGACGTACATCCAAAAACTAACCGTGAGTGAGGAATCTTAAGTTGAAATTTTCAACTGGCGACAACCCACGGATTTTTTCGGTCGTACTGTCAACTGAAACTGCTCGATTGAATTGACTTAAATCCAAAAACTGATCGTGAATGCGAAATCTTAAGTTGACATTTTCTACTGATGGCACTCCACGGAGTGTTCCGAGCACGCCGTAATCCGCTGATACTTTCTACTTTCTCAGTCGCTAGGCATATTATTTCTATGCTATTTAGATTTTTTTATTATTTTATATATTTAGATAATTTCGTTTGACGGAGGATGAAGACTAATCAGCACAGTCACTAGCTCAAGTCATCAGCACAGTCACCTTCCTTATGATTGACTCAGAAGATGGGTAAAGGAACTTAGTGATGCTACGTAGAACCATCGTGTTTTTTTTTCAACTCATTTTCAAAAAGGTTCATGAAGACCTAGATGACCACATGACGAAGGCCACACGACGAAGGCCACACTTACGTGAAATGTCGTTAATTATCGCGTTGATGGACGTTGATTGTAGATGAGGCCACGACTTAACGCGTTAATTTGACAATGAAATTAACAATGCCGTTTGCCGTTTGGCGATAACTCAAGTAGCGGTACATCAAAGAGATTAACACACAAAATAACGCGTTGAAGTGGACACACTACGTTTGTCTGACTGTGCACAATGAACACAGCAGGGTCGCACGTATGTGTATGATGGAGTGGAATAATAAAAAAGTTATTACGTTTCTTAAGATTCTGCAAACATTGCCATATTTTTGGGATCCAAGACTCAAAAGTTTTAAAATCGTACAGCACAAATCATGCTTTACGCCGAATTATCCAATTATTATCTTTTATAACAACTGTCGAAGAATTAGAAAGGCGAAGAAAAACCTAATGGGTTTTTATAGATCCATTTTTACCAAATATAAAAAGTCTTCTAGGAACATTAACGCCAAATTTAATGCCATTGAGTGGCATTGAAATTTAATGACGTGATGTGGAAAGATCATGTGTAGCCAATTTTATTACGTTAAATTTAAAGCAATACTTGCTGCGTCTATAGGCATTGACGTTTCCCGTTAGTGTAGCACCAGCATTAGCGCGTTCGCTGGATTCTCGACGCAGGGGCGGGGCGAGGCCCATGGTCGCGTGGTGGGCTAAGCGTTAAAATATAAATATCGACAGTCGACATTTTTTTTTTCAATAAAATGTTTTAATTTTTTATTTTGTCTCGTAAATCATTTAATCTGCTACTACCCAATCTTCTGTACTTTATTCTATTCTATTAATATTTCTCCAGTTTATTTATATGCTTATTATCTTAAAAAAGAAATTTAATAATGATTTCTTATATTTACGCGAACACTACACATTGAAATAATACAAATTTTTACGGAATTTATCGCGTATATTTAACTTTTTTACCCGACGTTTCGAGAGCTTTACAGCACCCATGGTCACGGGAAGGACTGAGATGTTCAACGTCCAGCTGTCATAGTTAACCGCGGTTACCATAGATTAAAATTTAACTTTTGTTCCGATCTACACAGTATGAACTTATGGTATCATGGAGTCTTGCAGTTGTATGCTTGGGTTGGGATTTAATTTTATTTATTATAGGATCCCAAGCAGATGGTAGCACCCAGCCATCTTCTCTATTGAAATTAGGATGTTTTTTGATTTCAATAGCCTCGCGAATCATCCTTGGAAGGAATCGGTGTTCTTTAGCGAGGATTTGTGGTCTATCAAATCTGATGTAGTGACGGGGGCGATCCTGTACATGTTCACAGACTGCAGACTTCCCGGAGCGTCGATTCTTCACATCAGCTATATGTTCTTTGACGCGGGTTTTAATTGATCTTTTAGTTTGTCCTATGTAGGAGAGACCACATTCACAATCAAGCTTGTACACTCCTGCATCTTGCAGAGGGACGTTACACTTGACTGATGGTAAAAACTGACCAATCTTCTTCGGCGGCTTGAAGTATGTTTTGATGGAAGCGCGCTTCAAGATGTAGCCAATCTTGTCAGTGACTCCTCTAACATATGGCAGTACAGCAGGTACACGCTCGACTGTGACCGGCTTCACTCGTTCTCTGTGACGTAGGCGCGGGACCCGAAGCTTGTTGTCATGCAAAACTTGCTTGACATGTTGGAGCTCGGCAGCCAGGTGTTTACTGTCACAGATCCCTCGTGCTCTCTGAAACAAAGATTTACCCACGGTAGCTAACTGTGAAGGATGGTGGTGAGAATCACCGTTTAAATATCTATCTGTATGGGTCTTTTTTTCTATACACAGTATGGCTCAAGGTGTTATCAGGATTCCGAATTACTAACACATCTAGAAAAGCTAAGGAATTGTTTGCCTCTAACTCCATTGTGAACTGAATTTTAGTATTTATAGAGTTAAGATGGCTTTTCGGTCGCTAAAGAACACCGATTCCTTCCAAGGATGATTCGCGAGGCTATTGAAATCAAAAAACATTCTAATTTCAATAGAGAAGATGGCTGGGTGCTACCATCTGCTTGGGATCCTATAATAAATAAAATTAAATCCCAACCCAAGCATACAACTGCAAGACTCCATGATACCATAAGTTCATACTGTGTAGATCGGAACAAAAGTTAAATTTTAATCTATGGTAACCGCGGTTAACTATGACAGCTGGACGTTGAACATCTCAGTCCTTCCCGTGACCATGGGTGCTGTAAAGCTCTCGAAACGTCGGGTAAAAAAGTTAAATATACGCGATAAATTCCGTAAGAAATTTAATTTTGTATAGTCTATCTCTGTGGTATTAAAATTACTATAATCTACGAAACTTATAACTACTTTACTAACTGTGTGTTTTGGCAGAAACTTGACCGTCGACGGATTTTCGCTTCTGATTTATCGCTTAAACAATGGTTTGAAGTGGATCTTGATTCGTAAAAGTGATGCGATTTTGTGATTTAAGCGTCTGTGCGTGTAAACTATTAGAGAAAATGACGAAACAAGAGCTTCGATGTTAATATAAACCTAAAGTTATTTTGATCGGTTATCCGTCTTACGAACTTGAGTTACTGTCGTCATCGACTGTCTGCTGGGTAGAGAGTTTACTCCGGTTCTTTCTAAATAGCTGTTAAATATGTGATTTCTTCAGCTACAACTGTAGCACCTGTGCTTCTAAACATATTTAACAGCAGTACATATAAACAACGAGTGTTTTTGAAAAATCTTACGGAAAAATATTTGTTTGGAGCGTTAGTGTCTATATTCGTATAGCAAGTGACTCGGAAAAGAAATTACGTGTTTATGTTATGACCGATTACTTGAGACTAAAAAATGCACGAAATGCACACTATGCAGTTAATGTCACCTTGCAACCTTGACATACCGGCCGCTAAAAACATCTGTTTTTAAATACATTATGTATACATACAAAACAATCTTAGTTCATAAACATGAAAATAACTTATAAGCTTCACAACATTATTCAACAACCTAAGCAGTATACAAAGACGTGTTTTTTTTAATATAATTTTAATAAATTTAATATTTCTTTAATAAGTCTTAAATACAACTAAAATTTTCAATAAGACAATGAATTCCTTTCTTCCGTTGTTGTACGTACGGCTCTTAAAGAAAACCTTACGAAGAGATTGTTTTCAAGCCGAGCTAGGCTTTACCTAATTTGCGTAACGTTATTGTCTATAAGCTGAAGCAGAGAGCAGCCTTTAAAATGTTCTCTTAGATTTTCTCTCCATACTCTGGTAGCTTTATTTGTTTACTAGGTATAAGCAATTTAATAATAGTACAACATGAATAAAGTTTTATAACGTCTCAAGTGACAGCCTAGTATTCGCAGATAGTCGGTGGATGGAGGTGGCTCTGGATCGTACTTTGTGGCAATTAGGGGGACCAATGTTTAGCAGTAAAGTTGTAAAGGGGTGTTTTGATGATGATGATGATGAATGACGTGCAATACTCGATGAAATTACATAAAAAGACAAAATGTTATCAATTCCTTTAGTTTATGTCCAGATGTGCGGTTACTAGAAAACCGAGGTACTTGAACTTAGCTGGTTATAGCGCGTTTCAAATTACTGTATGCATAGTTTAAAATTAAATGTTTTTATCTTTACGCTAAACACAAAAATACAATTTTTAGGAGTGGTAAACGAGTTCATTCATTTCCACATATTCCTCATAGATTTACAACAAACCAACCCTCGAAAACCGTTGATAGAGAAGCTCAACAGAATCGTATCATTCATAGCAACGCCATTTATGCATAGGGGTACTATTCAAAAAACACGCTTACATTGGCGTTTTTCTATCAGTGTAGTACCGTATATTCTGTTTGAGACACAGTATTGCGCTTTCACTTGATAAGTTCAGGCCTAAAGCCTAACTGCGCTTCCTTTTATACGACAAAACGTTTGCAAATAAATTTTCTATTTCATTCTACGAGTATTATGCGATAAGTGAGACAAGGAAAGGGGAAGACAGAAAGTTATAATAATATTATACAGTTAAGCGAAACTAAAAAGTGCTTTATCGTTGCTGCAACCCAACGTGTTTTTGTTTGCTTTGGTTGTAATTTCTAACTTCAATTGATTTTTAGTAATTTGTTAGGATACTGGCGTTTATTAAAACTACTTTTACGGATTTTATCGTATTTAATTTGAATTATATTGCACCGTGGTCAAGGGGG